TACGCGTTTAATATCCACGCGCTTGATTACTACGCGTTGGATATCCCCACGCTGGATTACTACACGTCGAATGACTACGCGTTGCATTACAAAAGTTTCATAAAAATAGGTAAAAAGAAGATTTGCAATACCTAACCAAAAAATTAGGTCTACGAAAATGTGTGAAACACTGAAAATTTATAGCAGCCCTAATTCGACGGCCAAAGACAGTAAAACGTTGAAACCACTGTTCGAAAGCGACAAATGCGACCCGGAAGCACGGAAAAACGCGTTCTAAAGACAAAACGATCGATGCACGCTTTTATGCTTCCACGAAAACCAGTTTTCGCATAAACGAATGCATTTCGTGCCGCGGTTCACTTACGTATTTGTTCTCGTACTTTGCGACGCCGAGACGTGAATGGACTCTTCTAGTCGTCTCGAGAACCGATTATCCGGATCTCCCGCGATTTCTGTCCGTTCAACGCTCGCGCGAATCATCGCCGCATTATGGAACGATCGTTGCAAATTCTTTTCAAATTCTTCCCACATTTTCAAACTTTCACATTTTTATTTAAAATCAATTTGCCGCTGATGGCGTATTAAGGTTAATGGCTCTCCTATCGGGTACACGTGATCGAAACAGTAGGTTTCTATTTATCCGGAGGCATTCTTGGCAGATGGCAATTTTAAATAAGTTATTTTTTTGTTGTTAGTTAATATTGTCTGTTATGTTATATTTGTACTATGCTTTTGTATCGCAAATGTAGGTAAAAGATACTGATTCTGAATGGTGTTGAACAGAATGTAGAGTGTGTCACCTGTCGAATGCAGAGAGTTGACATACAAAAATCCTAATGGTTACCTAACCTAACTTAGTCCTGACTCTTGTCAAGATTTTTTAGTAAAATATCGTTTACCTTCTTCTCTCAAAGTTTCTAATTAAATAAATTTTCAAACTTAATATTAAATGAAAATCAGACAATTGTCAATGAAAATTAAATTCGATAAGAATATATCTTTCATGACAATTATTATTTAACCTTCTTTAAGAACAGAAATCAAAATTTGTACCTTCTTATAATTTCATTGATAATCGCATATAACACATAGACATACATTGCTGTTTCATGAAACTGACTTTAGAAACGTATATGTACTCAATGACTCATCTCTTAAGATCTTTATCATGTTCGTTAGTGGACACATTGAAACACTATGTAAAATATTTCTAACTTCAGAGTTATGTTCGAGGAGTCTATGTTTGAAGAGTTTGATCAGTCTCCCTACTTGTAATTTATAATTAAAGTGGTCAGTAGTAGTCGCTAATAGTAATATTTATCTTGTGTTACGTCGATTAATACTATGACTTGATTGTACAGGGTGTCTCATAACTAATGCGCGCGCACAGCCTTTAGGATTACTACGTGTCGAATTACTACGCGTTGGTTAACTACGCGTTAGATTAACACGCGTTAGATTCCTACGCGTTAGATTACCACGCGTTGGATTCCTACGCGTTAGATTACCACGCGGTGGTTTCCTACGCGTTAGATTACCACGCGTTAGATTCCCATACGTTAGATTACCTCGCGTTAGATTTCTACGCGTTAGATTCCTACGCGTTAGATTACCACGCGTTAGATTACCACGCGTTAGATTCCTACGCTTAGAATTACCACGCGTTAGATTCTTACGCTTAGAATTACCGCGGGTTGCATCACTACGCGTTAGACTACTACGCGTTGAATATCCACGCGCTGGATTAC